TTTGGTTGGAGAGAGCTGTGGCGTTTCCCTACTGCCCCGTCGCCATCTTGGTCCCCCCCCTCCACTTCCAGCTTTTTGGAGACAAGAGTTTCACAAACTTTCCTGCCTAAGCTGGCTTTGAACAGTGATCCTCAGGTCTCAGCCTCCTGTGTAGCTAGGATTACAGTTATGAGCCACCACTAACACCTGGGAATTTTGCTGTAACTATTATGGCCTCTCTTCTAGCCCCCTCCCCCAATTCCTAGGAGGGAAGCTTAGTCAAATCCAACAAATCTGGAAGTCCTTTTAGGCAGACTTCAATCTCTCATGGATAAAACTGTTTCCTCGGTCTCTCAAATGGCATCCCTCCTCCAACCTTGAGGAAATGGTATATTCAACTTACACTCAATGAACTGCTATACCTGTAGCATTAAGTCTACAAAATACACTAAGACAACATTTTGCTCTCACCAACTATTTATCTATATTACTAAGTATCTTTATTTATCCAGAAAGACCCAAGAGATAATCCTGTGTAATAAATTGAATAATAGAGACATTCTGACATGGTAAAAGGACAAAGGTGGGTCACTGTACCCAGCTGGAAAAGGAGAAAAATATCTGCAGGATACTAGAAGTCCTAGAATACTGTCACCTACTCTTTCAGGAGCAGTAGATTAGTAGGGACTATATAAGAGAAAGTTCTAGAAAACATCTTCCAAATTGAAAAATAATTATCCAAATGATTTAATTATATTAGTTTTGGTGCCTTTGGTGGTACTACAAAAACCCCCAATGGGCTTAGGAAATAAAGAATTTTAGTATTTCACAAACTTTAAAGACCAGAGAAAAAGCAGGCTTCAAGAGTTGATTGACCTGGTGGCTCTCTATGTCATCAAGGATCCCTAATGCTCCCTTTCTCAGCTCTGTCTTCTTCAGGACAAAGCCCCTCGGTCACAAGTGAGAGACCACATTTCAGGTATTGTGATAAGACAGTCTCAGGAGAGGAGGAAACCATCTTTCTCTGTGTCTCTGTGTTAGGAGAGAGGAAATATTCTCAGATGACCTTTGAAGATTTCCCCTCATGTCGCAGAATCTTGGATTTAGCAATAAATCCATCTATAAAGCAATTACTACTTGTGGCCAAGGATTACAATTATAGGCTTAGACTAATCATTTAATGGGGTGCTATTTGGGAGGATAAACCATAGGCATTATTGTGTTTATGGTATTTGTACTTAAGCCAGGTGAACTGAAAACAGGAGCCCTGTCATTTGCCATCTCCGCTCAGGTCTTCTTAACTCATGGAGATATGGATATTTCTCCCCTACCCCATTTTCTTTTTCTTTTTGTCAGTTGTGAGGCTTGAACTCAGGGCTTGGGCACTGTCCCTGGGCTTTTTTTTGCTCAAGGCTAGCACTCTACCACTTTGAGCTACAGCACCACTTCTGGTTTTCTGGTGATTAATTGGAAGTAAGAGTCTCATGGATTTTCCCTGCTGGGGCTGGCTTTGAACCTTGATCCTCAGATCTCAGCCCCTTGAGTAGCTAGGATTATAGGCATGAGCCACCAACCCCCAGATTCCCCCTAATTTTAATAAGTAGAAAAATGAACAGCTGGTGGAAAATGGTCATACCACTTGAAACTAGTTCATTGACACTTATATTCATTTAAACAAAACTTACCAAAATCTACTAGCTTAACTCCACCTTCAGTGGTCAACAGAATGTTATTTCCTTTTACGTCTCGATGAATAGTTTTGTTGTTGTGAAGATGCTGAAGTCCCTAGCAAGAGGGAAACATAATGAATGTCAAAACATCAACAATAAGACATTTCTCAGATGACGCAGATATGCAAAATCAATAGGAAGCACACGTTGAAATTAGCATTCATATACTTAAATAATTCTCTTCCAGTCAAATCAAAGGGCATCATTTCATCTTTGGGCCCACACAAATAGAGCATGCCCCATACTTCTTTAATGGTGAGTATACCAAACATATCAGAGTTTGCATTTAATCCTGCATCAATAAATACCAAGGTAATTGTATTTTTCTAAAAACTACAATCTACATTTTGTGAGTGTGTGTGTGTGTGTGTGTGTGTGTGTGCTGGTACTGGGCCTTGAACTCAGGGGCTAGCTCTCTGGGCCTTTTCTACTTATGGCTGGTACTCTACCACTTCAGCTAAACTTCCAATTCCAGAACTGACTTCTTTTTGTGCCATTGTTGGGCTTGAACTCATGACCAGTGCATTGTCTCTGAGCATTAAAAATAATAAATGTTTGTTATGAGATTAAGGTGTTGTACAGAGGGGTTACTATTCCCTGACCTATTTTTGCTCAAGGCTAGCTCTCTACCACTTAAGTCACAACTTCACTTCTGGTCTTTTACTTGTTAATTGGAGCTAAGAGTCTCACAAACTTTCCTGTCCAGGCTATGAACAGTTATCCTCAGATCTCAGTATCATGAGATACAGATATAAGCCACCAATACCTAGCTCAGGATTATTTTGAAATTAGAACTACCTCTTGGAATACACACAACCCCCCCCCCCCCATAAACAGCCTTACCATTAATGCTTCATGTAAAATATAGGCAATCAGAAGTTCACTCATTCTTTCACCCCTCCTCAGAAATCCTTTCACAAGATCTGTCACAGATCCACCATTGCATAGCTAGAAGGAATATTTCAAGATAGACATTAACACAGACATGATATTCTAACTTTGTGATAGAAAAGATCTTCCTGAAACATTAAAAATAATCATTCCAATATTCTGTTTCTAATGATGACTCACATTATCTTTAGATTTCACCAGTGAAATGAACATAGAAACTTGTACTTGTGTACAGTTGTGATGATCAGAACACGGTATTCATACAAATGGCTTTTAGAATTTATCTATTCATTTTAGCATTTTCGTGTTTATTTCTACTATCTTTATTTTTTCTATTATCTTTAAATAGTTCTAAAACATAAAGGAGTTTGGATTCCACATGTCAATTTATGACTATAATGCATTTTGGTCAGTGTCAGCCCTTCCATTACTCCCTCTGTCCCCCTCCGCCTATCTATCTCAACCTTACCCTCTCCTTTACAGAGAATTTGAATTTGGAAACACTGAGCTTGAATTTTAAGTTTAAGGTTAAGAATTAGAACTGATTAATTCAAGATGGAGTTTCCAGGAGGTCATCCTTAAGGAGGGTCTCAGTCTTCTGAATAGGATTAGAGTCATGAGTCACTGCCACCTGGCTTCAAAAGCCTCTTTTAAAAATATGATGATTAAATTTTACTGGATTTCCAAACACTTCTGGTATATTATAAATATGATAGAAACAATGGGGTTTTATTGATCACTTCCTCGGTGCTGGACAAATTTCTAATCAAGTTATATGGTTTATTTCTAAACCTCACTACTCTGAAATAAGGGTCACCATCTCCATATTATACATGTAGATACTGAAGCATCTTTGTCCATTCAAAGAAGACTCTGTTTGGTGAATTTCAAAACTTGCAGTTCCTACTGTATTAAGGCAAGGGACACCTTTTTACCTGGATAAATGGCCGAGTGTTAGACACAACTGACTGAGAAGTGACTGAGTCCTTTAAAATACCAAGCCATTTCTTTAAAAGGACTCAGGCTTTGGAACTCATTATAAAAGTTTTTACAGGGGCTGGGGAGATAGCTCAGTGGTAGAGTGCTTGCCTTGCATACCTGAGGCCCTGAGTTCGAGTCCTCAGTACCACATAAGCAAAAAGAAAAAAGCCAGAAGTGGTGCCGTGGCTCAAGTGGTAGAGTGCTAGCCTTGAGCTGAAGAGCTGAGGGACAGTGCCCAGGCCCAGAGTTCAGGCCTCATGACTGGATCCAAAAAAAAAAAAGATTTTACAGAATACGCTTCCTGTATCCTGAGAAATCTTAACCTAATCCAACATTATAAAACTTATAGGCAGTTGTGTGGTCTATTTGACTTAACTTTTGTATGTAGTATGAGGTATAGATTATATATGGATGTCCAATATTGCAACACACTTGAATACTAGGCAATGTATCCAAGAAACAAAAAATAGAAGTCTAAGCTGGGTGCCAGTGGCTAAGATCTGAGGATCATGATTCAAAGCCAGCCCAGGCTGGAAAGTCTGTGAGACTCTTATCTCCAATTAATCACCAGAAAACCAGGAAGTTGCAATGTGGTTCAAGTGGTAGAGTACTAGCCTTGAGCTGAAGAGCTCAAGAACAATGCCAAAGCCCAGAATTCAAGCCCCATGACTGACAAAGAAAAAGAAAAATGGAAGTCTGAACTGGGCTTAAATTGAATTTCCCATATCAGGAAGGTCATGTGTTAAGTGCATAATACAGAGAGAAAGAGAGCATTGTAGAAAGGCTCACAATGTATGATCTGGGTTGTGTAACATTCAAGAAACCTAAACCACAGACCAAGTATTCAGTGGTTATCAGGTATTCAAGACAGATGAAGAGGCAGAGCACAGGAAACAAGGGAACTGTGTCTGAGCTAAACTATAGTGCTGGCTGGTGTAAATTTGTCAGACTCTACAAAATATATAAGGTGGAAGGATGCAAGCTAAATACTTTAGTTAATCATAATATATCATAATTGGTGCATAAATTCCAACAAATGTACCGTGTTAACATAAGATGTTAATAATTGGAGGAATGTAGCATTGTAGAGGTCTCTGTTACTTTCTGTTTAATCTTTTGGCAGACCTAAAATTGCTAAAAATACATCTTTTCACTAAAAGAAACCTGATTGTTAAGACTAAGTTAAAAGACCCTGATTCATGGAAGATATACAAACTCCATCTAAATTCTATACAAATAAAGCTCCTTTACAATGTCTTCTCAGAAATGAAACTAAATTGCTCATTGTTAAATTTATATCCAATAGTATTTATCCAAAAATATTTTTGTATAGCAGTACTTTCATTTAAAGTTGATTTTTAGAAGAATTATAATTTATGTCCAACAAATATTTATTGATCAGAGATGACAAGGACAGATTTTGTTTCAAGAGGCTGAAAATATAGCAGCTCAAGCCTGGAATACTAGCTACTCAAGAGGCTGAGATCTGAGGATGTTGGTCCTAAGCCTGCCTGAGCAGGAAAGTCCATGAGACTTTTTATCTCCATTGACCATCCAAAAAGCTGGAAGTGGACTATAGCTTCAGTGGTAAAGGGCTATCCTCGAGCAAAATAGCTCAGAGACAATTCCCAGGCTATAAGTTCAAGCCGCAGAATCAGTTCACACACACACACACACACACACACACACACACACACACGCCTGCCACACACAAACTTCTTAGCGGAAATGTAAACATAAACCCTATCTGAAAATATGGATGTGGAAATTTAAAGAATATCAACAATCTTTCCTCATCAAATCTAGATTTTGTTTCCTAATTATCCCTGATAAATTCCCTTAAAAAGAGCTGAGTTAGAGAAGGCTGAGATCTGAGGATTGTGGTTCAAAGCCAGCCTAGGAAGGAAAGTCCATGAGACTCTAATCTCCAATAAACTACTCAGAAAAAGCCAGAAGTGGTACTATGGCTCAAGTGGTAGAGTGCTAACCTTAAGCACAAAGAGGCTTAGGGGTCAGCGCCCAGGCCCTGAGATCAATCCTTAGGACTAGGGGGAGGCATTTTCTGGAGGTGGGGTGGGGCATAGTGCTAGGGGAGAGGAGGAAAGCTGAGTTCAATTAAAAGAGTAATTTCCTGGGGCTGGGAAGGTGGCTCAGTGGTAGAGCGCTTGCCTTGCTTGCATGATGGCTTGGGTTCGATTCCTCAGCACCACATAAGCAGAAAAAGCTGGCAGTGAGGCTGTGGCTCAAGTGGTAGGGCACTAGCCTTGAGCTAAAGAGCTGAGGGACAGCGCCCAGGCCCAGAGTTCAGGCCCCATGACCAACAACAACAAAAAAAGAGTAATTTCCTACTTATGACCTACATTAGTTCATATTCTAATTTACACTGTTTTTCTTACAAATGATAAGGTAAAGTTTTGTAAGTTGTATAATTTTATTACTATTGTGGAGAAACAGTCAAGACCAAAAACACTTTTAAAATAGACTCAAATTATTTTCTAAGTGTCAGATATGAACAGGACAGAGCAAATTACAAAAGGCAGACATTCAAATTCTACTTATAGGTAACACAGTATATTTGAAACTGTTAGAAGCTTATTTCCTTTATGTCTTAGAAACATTTCTTTTCTGTTTTCTAATGTATAATTTGTTATGTGTGTTATGACAAGAATTCATACTTAAGCCAGGTGTTAGCTTCTCAAGTTGAATGAGTTCTGAGGATCAAGGTTCAAAGCCAGCTGGATAGACAAATCTGTAAGCATTGTGTCCAGTAAAATATTGATCAAGTATCGATGAAACCTGGCACCATCAGCAAATAGACATTTTATAACTCGAATAGTGAATAAAAGTTTTGCATTTTCTAATGTGTGGATTAGAGGCAGTATTTTAGTGTCAATAATACTATCGGTAGATAATATAGTTGACTCATTTAGGAGTGCAATGAGAAGTGTTTTGGTTATTTAGTGTTTTGGTTATTGTATACAACCATGAGTAATGAAATATAAATCCAGAACTGTTCTCTCACCCTAAAATGCTTAAAATTTATGGGAAAACACCAGCAAACATTGACAATTCTGTCAATAAGAAATCTTTGATAACAAAGAGAAAGTAACTTATCAGAAGAAATATTTTAATGTGCACAATAAAAACTTATTAATTTATCAAATAATATATCTGATGTTGTATCTTACATCTTTCTCCCCAAATTAATACTATAAACTTGTACTTCTATTCAGAGTAGCAGTTTTTTTTGTAATAACCAAAGAATTATTGAGCAAGAAGGACACAACAGGAGTCAGATGGATGAATTGATGGATAGATGAGATAGATAGGTGTATAAATGGGTAGATGGATAGATCAATGGATAGATGGGGAAATGAGATGGATGGATGGGTAGATGGATAGATGAAATACATGGATGGATAGATGGGTAGATGATAAAAGATAGATAAGTAGATAGATGGATTAGTGAGATGGGTGGGTAGAAAATATACAGATACTTCATTTAATATTCATATGTTTCCTAAGTTTATGAGCAGAAAGTAATATCTTTCCATCCTGCCCTTTAAAAGAAACCTAAAATCAAATGATTCTGGGTAACTGGCTGTCTACTCTGCTTTGAGCTCACAGAGTAACAGCTGCTTATTTATATGGGAGCTGGAATGATTTTCCAGTCCTAAGAACACGAAAGGCATCACATGGTCAGAACACTTCTCCACTGCAGCTGAGCCTGGACAAGGACAGAACAGCACCATGCGGTTAGAAGGCGAGACCTAACTTCCTACACCTGTCTTGCTTCTCTGATCCTGACACATAGACCAAGAAGTCATGGCTTATGTCCCCCCTGTATTCCTAACTTAAGAGGGTTAATAGCTGAACAAACAGAAACTACTCCTCCATTCTAGCTCCTCTTCTTTCCACCACTTAGTTTCCTTTTCCTCATGACAGACCTTTTATTACTTGGTGGCTAGTAAAGTAAAAACTAAAACAACCAATAATACATGACTTTGGAAAGTAGTATTTCTATGTAGTAAAAAGGCTTTGATGATCTAACATGTGTACTTGGAAGCTTTTAAGAGCTATTTACTGAATTTTTGTGCTTTTAAATATCACTTGTAATTACCAGCCTTTGATCTCCTGAAAAAGATATAATTTCAAAGAGGAAAATTGCTATAATTGGAGTGCAGTAGGAGAAAGCAATGTCCTTAATAAGAGTGAACAAATCAGGGCCAATTCAGACAAGTAATAGAATATGTTCTATAGCGCCATTGTAAAAGGAGCAATTAGAGGAAATATTGGATTATAAGAGAAAGAGTCTTTTAACGGAAAGGTGTCCCAGCTCTGAATTTTGGTTCCATTCTGACTGAAGGCATATAAGGAAATAGTTCCAGAGAGAAAAGTCTGGGTTTTGTTATATAGTTAAATGTGCTTGTTTGTCCAGTCAAGAAGGGAAAAATTACACTTAAATATATTTATTTTCTTCCCTTTGTGTTTATCAGTAGCAAAGAATTATTATGAGAATGATTTACTCCAATTTGGACCTTGCTTCTGGGTTCTTCAGGTTCATGTATAAGCATACGTACAAACATAATCTAATCCTTACCTTTCCAGCTTTCCTCCCCCTGTTCTTGATGCTGACCCTCAGTAATGTACGTTTGGATTAAATAAAGCAAGTCAAAAGTAGTTCCTGTAACTTACTAAACAGGCCAGGTTAGAGATAAGTGTGGCAACAGCAGAAAGGAATGTAAATAAAATATCTCAAAATGAGGCATACATCAAAGAAACAAAAACATTGGTTATCTCTTTATATCTGCATCATTAGAAAAATCTAAACTATTACATGATTATAAAACACTGTACAGATGTGCCATCAAACATCAACACACACACAAACACACACACACACATTCACACCAATCACAACAAACACCCAATTACTCCTTACTGGTTAGTTTCATTCAAGTTATATAACTGGAATTTCAGAGACTCAGAAGCTTGAGCTCTTTTATACAACCTTGGCAAGATTTAGAGTCTAAATCAAATATGGCAAATTAAAAAAGAAGATTTCTAAACAAAATCTTGTACATCATCCATGCAAAGAGTTATAAGATAGAAGAAAAATACAGGAAAGGGAAAAATATACCCCAAATACCCCAAACATTCAAAAATAAAATTCAAGACAAAAAATTCAAAAATAAAATTCAACAAAAAGAACTGTCCCATAAAATCTAGGGAAATATTATTTCTACAATTTTAAGTCTGGATTGAAATTTAAAGTAAAATGATTTTTCATGCTAGGAAGTCACCGTGGAGTTTGTATAGGCTGACATAACCTTTCCCAAGCAGCAGGTTTATGACTAGGGACACAATGGCTCAGATATATCCTCTGCATTACAGACCTTCTACTGTAATCTCTGTAGAATGTAAGCAAGCATATACAAATGTATTAACTGAAAACTAGTACATTCAAGGGAGAACTCAAATAGTGTGATTCCTTAGAAAGGCGAAGACAAAGTTCAACAGAATAAGCACCAGGAAACTAGTATTTGAAAGGAGGTAGATTGGGTCAAGGGGAGAAGGGTATAATAAAGGGAGAATGAAAGATAGAATCCAGGCAAGAATTCAATGTATATCCTACAAGATGAAGAAAAGTGCAGGAAGGGGCAGGTTGGGAAGGAAAGGTGAGACTATTGAAAGCATTGACATTGACCAAGATGCACTCTATTTATAAAATGGCAATTCCTTTGTACAACTACTTAAAGATAATTTAAAGATAAGTTAAAAATTAATCAAGTTTACTGGTAAAAATAAAAGAAATCTCACATTGTATGTAGGACTCTTTCCATCACTTTGACCCTCTTGGGCCTCTCATTAGATATGTAAAATAATTTATTGAGGCTTTATTATGATAAGAGGTATAATTAGCAGTCATTTTGTTACACAAAGTATGTCACAGCCAATTTTCTGCAATTGCTTCTAGCAGAGCACCTGCACCATTCATGTTTATAAATCAGGTAATTGTACAGCTCGCCACTTATAAGTATGTATGATTAGTCTGATTTACATATGCAAGTTAATGATTTTATATACAGTATATCAAGTTGCTGCATTTTTTTGTTTTTTATTTTTAAATTTTATTGTAAAGATGATATACAGAGGGGTTGCAGTTACATAACCAAGATAATAAGTACATTTCCTTTTGAACAGTGTCACCTCCTCCCTCATTTTCTCCCAGTTTTTCCCCTCCAGACTTTCTTCCCCCCAGTTGTATAGTTTATTTCCAAAATAGTGTTTAGTGGGTTTCACTGCTGAATTGGTTCACTTTTTGTCCCACGATTTCTGTTCTTTTCCCTCCCCTCCCCAAATCAGATAAATGTATACACAAAGCAAAGGGTAATAAAATCAAATACAGTGACAAAAGGGAATAAACAAAAAAAAAAAGAAGGAAAGAAAAAAGAATTCCAAACACTACAATAAAAAACCTTCTTGCTTCCATTTCTTGGAGTTCATTTCAGGAAGCATCATTTTATATGATCATATACACATAGCTATTGAACTGTTGTGATTCTCTCCTAAGATTATCCTCCTTTGGTCTCACTGTGTGAATGTTTAGATTGCTGTTTAATAAATCATGTCCAAGTGTAATTATTTGTTTTTTCTATCCATTGGATTTACTTGTAAATTTACAGGCACATTCTAATGATTAGAAATGAGGGAAACCATGCAGCCTATATTTCTTCGGGTATGGCTTACTTTACTTTATAATTTTTTCCAAGTCTTTCTGTTATTCTTTCTGATGGAAGGTTGCTGCATTTTAAATGTTTTCTCTGATTTTGTTACATTAGAGTTCTAAAGTATCATTATATTTACATATATATGTGTGTATACATATATGCTACATACATAATTTTTCTCATACTACTTGGGGATACTCCCAGAACTCTACCTGATAATAAATATAAGATCAAATGGAAAGAACCAGTTAAGTTTCTACTGATTCATTGTGTTGGAATTTCTCTTTATTTCTTTGGGATGATCCAAAACCATTTTACCCAATCTTTCCTGCTCTCTCAAAAAAATAACAATTTAAACTATGGTCAAATATTTAAATTTAAACTATGGTAAAATAATACAATGCATAGCTTCCTATCATGAAAATGTTCGTGAAAATACTAGTTTACATTTTGGAAGGCTCTGTGGTACAAATAAAGTTTGCAGATGAACTGTAAATTTATTGATCGTCATTCATGATTCTCCATTTAAATGTCAGTAAAGGGGTCTAAAAAGTCTAAACCACAAAGGAAAAGAAGACAGAAAAAAGGAGATCAGAGGTCAGGAGAGTTCATCAAAATTGAAAATATGGAATCAGATAAGCAAGTAGTAATGGATTACGTCAACACAGGAGAATACCAAGTAAAGCATTTGCTGAGGGCTTTTTGTTTCTTTGTTTGTTTGTTTTCTGGTAGGGGTTGGACCAGCCTAACTATACAGGGCTAAGGAAAGAAAATAGGGAGAGAACAAAACATCGATGGAAGTGTCTAACCTTATGCCTCCTTATCTTGCCCTCCCTCACATACACACAATATCCATATCCAGCAGCATGCCTGAAAGGACTCAAGGTTTGGGAGCATCCAAATTGAGAAGTACAGACCGTAAATGTAGGTACTTGGTTCTCTACTTTAATTTACTAGCATTCAATGAAGGAAAAAAACATTCATGAAATCACCAATAATGAAACCTCACTTCACATTTTAAAACTGTTTTCTTCCTAAAGGAAAAGAGAATCTCAGACTCTTCAGTCTTTCTCTGTAGGCTGATTTTCTTTTCAATTTTCAGTAGTTGTATAGATTTTTAATTTCCTGATGTGTATCTTAAGATGAAGAGTCTCGTACTAGACACCATGTTTTACTGGAGAAGAGTTTCACGAGGTTAATGTCACCTAAGTACTGTGTCATTCCAGGACCACAATGCAAACTTCCACCTACACAAATCATGCTGAAACACTTACCTCCAGAACCAACCACAGCTTATCTCCATGTTGTCTATCCTTCTTAAAGTAAATACCGTAGAACTTGACTACATTTGGATGGTCGGAGAGTGCTCTTAAGATGTTGTATTCTGCTTCAATCTCCTCATCAATATCCTAGTTTCAAAAACCATTTTTAAAAAGTATGAACAATATCAATGACATGTAATAACTATCAAAATCAGAATTTTATTTTACTAAGGCAAAATATTGATTTTATTGTGTTTAGTTCTATGTATTAAATTTCTTATCACATTAAGAGGCCAGATTGTGATTTTCTTGCTAGCCAAATGCATCTTAAGCTATATTACTTTTTAATTAAATCTAAAAAGAAATAAAGGCTATTTTTCTATGCATTTCAAAAACAACTCATTGTAGTAGTTATTTGGCTGCAGTGAGAAAGTCATTGATTTGAAATAAAAACTTTTAGAACCAGAAAGCAGATTTATTTTGTTTCTTTAGAATACCGGATATTTGAAATCTATCAAAAGCAAGTCACATGAGCAATAAATTCTTGCTTTTCCAAAAAAAGTGACCTGGAGTTAAATTATAAAAGATGAAGCAAGGCATACTGAAAAATAGAAGATATTGCAACCTTTAATAAAAATGCAGCACATCCATGCAGTCATCTTTCTGGTAAAGGGCATGTATAGGAAACAACCCACAGAACTATAATACTTGGCTAATTGCTCTTACAATGATAGCTAATAACTCTGTGTTTTTACTACAGAATCATGGACTCACAGAGGAAGAAAGAAAATATAAAGGAAGACAATCCAGCTTGACAAAGTCAGAGCCAGAGATGCTTAGATTCCAACCCTACTACATCCCAATTTTGTTCACTTACTCTTTTTCTTGCAGGGAAAATTCCTAATTCAATATACATCATAGTAAGATACCTTCATTTTAAAAAGAGTCAATCTTTGTAAAAATTCATGGGTGCATTTAGGTTTAAGATTATAATCTCTTGGTTATAAATCTTTCTTATTTGACTTGTGACATGACAAAAGAGTAAGGAATTCTAAGGAAAACATATATGTATTGTGACAAGAGCAGAACAGCCAAATAAAGTACTATACATTGTTAGTGTTTCATTAAAACAATGGCAGAGAACATGATTTGCAGAATTTCTAAGTATATTATATATGAGTAAATTAAAAAAAACAATGGTTATATGTATGTTAAGCTACTCTTTCTCCATTAAGAAGGAAATAGCCAGGCACTGGTGGCTCATGGCTATAATCCTAGCTACCCAGGAGGCTGAGATCTGAGGATCACAGTCCAAAGTCAGCCTGGAGACTCTTATCTCCACTTGTGAGACTCTTATCTCCACTTAGAAGTAAAAAGTCAGAAGTGAAGCTGTGTCTCAAGAGATAGAGCACTAATTATGAATGAAAAATCTCAGAGACAGTGACCAGGCCCTGAGTTCAAACTGCAGAACTGGCGTGCACACACACACACACACACACACACAGAAGGGAATCGGAGAAGCTAGATACTGAAGTCCTTTTATTTATTGAAATGAATCCCAAACTGTAATATCAAAGGCCAATGGAAAAAGAAAAATCAAGTCATTAGGGTGGGGTAACTTGTGTCTTTCTCCCCTCTGTGTAAATGTAAAGATAGTTCATGTCAGTTAAGCCTGGGCACAATATTTCTCAACTTTTTAGTCTAGTGTGTGTCCTATTTTCCCTTCCATATATACATATGTATATACATATATACACATACATGTATATATGTACATATATAAATACATATATATATATATTTGTGTATATGTGTGCGTGTGTGCGTGTGTGTGGTACTAAAGTTCAAACTCAGGGTTTCCAACTTTTATTCAGCTTTCTTGCTCATACCTGGTGCTATACCACTTGAACCATGGCTCCAATTCTGCTCTTTTGGCTGGTTAATTAGAGACAGAGTTTCATAGACTCTTTCTTCTGTCTGGGCTGGCTTCAAGCCATGATCCTCAAGGTCTCAGCCTTATCCTAGGCAGCTAGGATAATCCGTGTTTGGTCTCAAATGACTGCCTTAGATAAAGCTCTCTCATTTTCCTCTATTCTAACAATACCCAAGAGTGACATAATAATGGGCTTAGTAGAAATAAATAAGTGCACCCTTCAGATGAACAAAGAACTAGACACCTTGTGCTGTGTCCTTGGTTTATTAGAGGGTGAGCTATGGCAAAGACAGAGGGTTCTCATGTGTACTTTTCATGGCATGCACTCCCTGGACACTGTCATGACTTGCATGTGTAAGAGGCATGTAACTGCACACATGGATCTCAGCAACAGTTTGGGGAGATGTGACTTCTGAACTTATTTGCCCACCCATGTACTATGAGAGAGGCAAATATCTCCAGTTTAGCACTTAGCCAGGCTTGGGGTTACACACCTAAAAACCCAGGACTCAGGAGTGTAAGGCAGGGTATTGTGAGTTGAAAGCCAATAGGACTGATATTTCAAAAATCCAAAAACTAAACTAAACTAAACCCAACAAGTAATCCTAAATTTCCAACCTTCATTCTCAGACGACCAGGTCAGACTATACCTCAATAGGAGCATGAGCTCCTGACTTTGATCCCAACACACACACACACACACACACACACACACACACACACACGAGTAAAAAATCATTTCTTGGAAACAGAAACAGAATCTTGACATTCTCCTTGTACCATTAACAATAGGCTATTTTTTTAAAAATCACTATTGCTATCTTGGTATTTTCTCTTATCACAACTATTAACCACCCTTACCCCAAAAAGCAGTGAAGGACTTCACTCAAAGATCAGTAAGATTAAAGAAGAATTCCAATTTTTCACAATGAATATAGACAAAGACCATCAAACACATAAGCAAATCAAAAAATTAATTTCATTTAAAAAATCCTTTACAAGGAGAAGAGAAGAATGCAGTCAAAACTCCAATGCATACAACATTAAGAAGAGTGAGGGAAGGGTGGATAGGAGAGGAATGAGTAAGAATGTTGAAAGGAGTGACATTGACCAGGATATAATGTAGCCATTATATAATATATTCAGAATATAATGTATCCATTACTGCTTTGTTAAATGGCAACTTCTTTTTACAAGTAGTTAAAAATAATAAATAAATAAGGAAACAAAACTACTTCTTCAATCTGGCATAAGAGAAATTGTGCCTATAGCCTGAGCTAATGCAGGGAAACTTGGACATCTGGTTACAATGACATCTTAGAGTTACATTTAGACCCATGAGTTTGTATTTTAATTATTTTTAAATCTAAGATAATATCAATGAACTACATAGCTGATGAGCATTGATTTACTTATACATTAGATATAAAATACATATGTTATCAATATAACACATAAACCAGAAGAATCGAACAAGAAGACTTTCCTATATTTTTCAAATTGCTGCAATTTGTTTCACAATGATAATGATGAATGAATTTATTTGAGATATGTGTTAATTTTAAAAACTCTTTCGTATAGATTAAATTGGCTATGGAGAAGAGAAAAACCCAAAATGACTCACATGAATTGGATCCAGAATTTTGACTGCTGCTTTTTGGCCATTTTTCTTATTCAATACTTTAAAAACTTTCCCATAAGTTCCTTTTCCAATTGTTTCAATGATTTCCCATGTATCAGAAGGATCAGGAAAGTTATCAAACAAAATTGTTTTTCCAAACATCTCAAAGGTTTAAATCACTGGAAAGAAAAGGCACAGTTCCATCTATATTTAATTGGGGAAATTAAACAGCTCATGTAATCTCATGGGAAATTATCTAGTCTTTTCACTAATACAATGGAAAAATGTACAACTGTACCCAAATGTTCTTCAGAGTCACAGAAAAATTTAATATTATCTTTGTAAACAGATTTTATGAGGTTAATTATGATCCGTAAGCAGGGCTTTGTTTCTTTAAAGAAATGGTCTTGTATTAATTGCTAATAATTCTCTTCAGATGAAAAGCCATATATTTATATCATTTTGATTTATTTCATCATAGTCAGGTATCTCAATGAATAAAAGAATTTCACAATAACCCAAGATTTGGGTATGGTGGTAAGTGCCTGTAAAACCAACTCATTGAGAGACAGATAGATACACGAGGATTACATGTTCACAAGTTCAAGGCTAGCCAGGGCAAATCGTAAGTCTACAACATAATAAAAAACAAAAAGGTAAATGCATTGTTCAGCTGAACAATAGGCAGGCCCTGGGTTCAACCTGCAGTACCAAAATTTAAAAAAAAATCAATTTCCTCACTTAAGATAATCATATACTTTCTAAATAATGGGGAGTTATATTATTTTTCTATTTAATTCCCTTCCCAGAATAGATCTGCTTCCCAGAATAGATCCTATGGCTGGTATTATTGCCAGCACCTTCAACTTTCTTTATTTCTCACTTTCAGAACCACAACCTACTGGGAGGGAACCCCTGGTCTCCTTCATACCTGTACCTGTAGTTGGACGAACCCTACACAATCATATTGACTAATAAACCTACATAAGGCCTACCAGGATTCCTTAACATTTCCTTGGCCTGTCCCTTCCTTTTTTGACTTCATGATCATCCATCCTCAATTTTGTTTCTCTCCTCAAAAATGCTCCCTCTCTTTTGTCCTCCTCCCACATACTTCCTGAAAAAAATGGAAAAATAAATATTCCTTATTCTTATGTCAAAAACCATACCCCAATGTGTATAGGGGCAAAATGAGTTTATCCCTATTTTTACTATTGCTGTCTGGCATCAGTTCTTTCTCTTTATTTGTTCTCAACCTTTAGGCTTCACTATGAACACTTTGCTAGAAAGGCTCTCAGATCAATGTTCATGAAGACAGGCCTTCTCCACTTATTCTGGTGTTCTCCCATTAACATGTAAACTACGAGGGAATGAACTTTGTTAATTTTACTACTGTCCCCACAATTTCTAGAACAACGACAAACACATGGTAGATAGTAGATATTAAATGAGGAAATACTGACTTATCTCTTAATTACGACAGCAAAGATCTTTTTTTAATATATATTTTATTGTAAAGATACTGTACAGAGGGGTTACAGTTACATGAGTAAGGCAATGAGTACATTTCCTATTGAGCATTGCTACTCCTCCTTTGTTTTTCTCTACCATCCCTTCCCTCCCCACCTCCCCAACTCATCCCTCCCCACCCCAAGAAATTATAAAGTTTGTTTTCAACATAGTGTCTTGTACATCTCATTGTTACAATGGGTCAACCTGTATCCTTATTTTAGCATTTTATTATTTCCCTTCCCCTCCCCAAATTAGAAAAAATGTATATACAAGATGCAGAGCATGGGAATCAAATACAGTGAAAACAGGGGTTATACCATGGGGGAAGAAAATACAAAAGAAAATAAAAAATAACATAGTACAAGTACATTAAAACCAACAGCAATAAAGATAAAACCTCTTGTGTCACTGTCTTGGGGTTCATTTTGCTTAGCATCATCTTATATGGTCATATGTACATAACTTTTGACCTTTTCTGCTTGTCTGGTAAGATTATCCTAGACATATACTAGTTACTGCAAATAAGGGAAACCATGGCACCTATGTTTCTTTGGATCTGGCTTACTTCACTTAATTCAATTTTTCCAATTCTTGACAATAAATATCTTACTTTTATTGTGTACTCATATATCTCATAATGTCTAACTCTGGGACAGGCACAGAAGTAGATGTTGAAAAGCTTACTATGTATTGGTGGCTCATGTTTGTAATCCTAGCTACTCAACAGGCTAAGATGTGAGCATTGAATTTGTAGCCCAGCTCCAGCAGACAAATCCTCCAGAGTCATAAGTGGTGGTGTTGTTCAAGTGGCAAAAGTGCCAGCCTTAAGCAAAATGCTAAGCAAGAGCGAGAAACCTTGAGTTCCAACTCCAGGTTGGGCACACACACAGAAGAAAAAAACCACACAGACACCTATAAATTGCTGTTGAGTAAATGAATAAACCTGGTTAATCCAAAAAAATTAAGTGAGAGAGAAATAAGGATTAGGGAAAACTGAAAAGAATATGATAATCCAAAGCAAAATAAAGATCACGCTCTGATTAACTATACTTAAGAGCACATCATTTAGTAAATGGTTATAAATGCCTGCTAAATATTATATCAGGGCATAAAAAGATACTTCTGAATGGTTCTTAGAACACTTGATCTTTATGAAATTTGTGCCTTTGATCCAACAGGCAAAGAAGTAATTAGTAATAATCATCCTCTTTAACGATTTCATAATCAGTAACAAAATAACCACCTCTTACCTCTAGCTGCTTGAATCACACAAATATGCATCTTTGCTATCTAGGTAACATGAATGCAGATCAAGAGACCAATTATATCCTGTTTAATTTTTCAAATAGAAGCTCCCAACTAGGACAAACATTCATTACATGGAATACTGCCTTCCAACCAGTAGTGTTATTGAACAGGACTTGAACAGGACTTTCATTTCTGAGCTATTCAACGATTAGGGTTTAACTGCTTGTTTTTAATATCTAGGTATTAAAAATTCACTAAAAATGGCTGAACACCATAGGACTGCAATATATTTCAATGAGTTCAGAGGAAACAAACATAGGCAACTTATGGTTAGTCAATAAATATGTAACTATGACACTATAAAAAATGACCATAGAGCCAGGTAATGATGGCTCATACCCATAATTCTAGCTACTCAGGAGGCTGAGCTCTGGAGGATCATGATTTGATGCTAGCCTGGGCAGAAAAGTCCACAAAACTTTTTCTCCAAAATAATATAGCTCAAGAGGCCCTGAGTTCAAATACTAGTAAAAAAAATTCTGAAAAATCCTAGACCCAAAAATAGTGATAGAGAAAAATCCATAAAGTAAGACAGTAGATTAGGTGATGAAGCAGTTAAATCTGAAATGACCAGTAAAAGACACAGGAAATAAATAATATTTGAGTGGGACAATGAAAATGAGTAAGCTTGTCTAAAATATGACTTTTCCTAGTTGTTCAGATAAATGTTTCAAGCAGTGTAATGAATGACATTGCCCCATTTGTAAGGAAATGGAGACTTGAGAAAAATCATATTAGTGAAGCAAGCCAGACTCAAAGAAACAGACTCCATGGTTTCCCTTATATGTAATAATTAGATATAATAATTAGATATGTCCTTGAAAGTCCTAGCAGAGGATCACAATAGCTCAATAGCTATGTATGTATGACCATATAAAATGATGCTAATTGAAATGAACTCCAAGATATGGAAGCAAGCAGGTTTTTTTGTTTTGTTTTGGTATTTTTTGTTTGTTTGTTTGTTTTTGTCAGTTGTGGGGCTTGAACTCTGGGTCTGGGCACTGTCCCTCAGCTCTTCAGCTCAAGGCTAGCTCTCTACCATTTGAGCCACAGTGCCACTTCCAGTTTTCTGATGGTTTTTATTGGAGATAAGAGTTTCACAGACTTTCCTGCCCAGGCTGGCTTTGAACCACGATCCTCAGAACTCAGCCTCCTGAGTAGCTAGGATTACAAGCACCAGCCATGGCACCCAGCTTTGTTGTTGCTTTTAATGTACTGTGTGAAGCTATTTATTTTTTCTTTCATTTTTTTCCTTTGGTTTATCCCCTGTTGTCACTGGTTTTGATTTTGGTACCCTGTGTCTTGTATATACATTTATCCACTTTCAAGATGAGAAGGGGAACAATAAAATGGTAAGGCAAAGGACAAAGGGTAAACCAATGCAACAGTGATACTCACAAGACACTATGTTGGACATGAACTTTACAACTCAGGGGGGAGGGGAGTGGAAGGAAGGGAGGGAAGGTAGGAGAAAATGAGGGAGGAAGTAACATTGTTCAGCAAGAAATATATTCATTACTTTGCTCGTGTGACTATAACCCTTCTGTGCATCACATTTACAATAAAATAAAGTTAAAAATATAATTATGTACATTAAAAAAGAATGCCACAAACACAGGAATTTTGGAAACAGAAAACTAGTCAAATGGAGTCTAATATCCCATTTTAAACCTATAAAAAGCATTTCCAGGTAAAGCAAAGTCATTTAAGATAACTTCTTGAAAATCATACCTTAAGAAGTTTCAATAATTAACCTCATAAGAATTCTTCTGGCTCCTAAACTCTACTTTTTACACTAAATGGCACATTCCTTAAGAAGAAAACAAAACAGCAGTTTGTTAACAACTAATTACTTAATGACTACAGGATGTTGAATTCTACATAACAGGGAATGTTCATATGTTTTGTCTAATACCTTAGCCCTTGAGGAATAAAAAATACTTCTCTAACTCATGAAATTAAATACATACAATTATGTTTTAATTGCATAATAAACTCCTTAATTATGAATCATGTAAACCAAGGAAATGTTTTTGCCATATGTATTATATATAAATGTTAAATATATAGATATATGCAATATTATGCTATTTAAGTCTGAAAGTTGCTAATAGCATGACTTCTTAAACATAAAGTCTCATTTTTTTTTCTTTGAAAGTGCTGGGGACAGAATCCAGGCCCTTAAGTATATTAGGCCTGGACTTTGCTATGGAGCTACACTCCATCCTGAGGTTCATCTTTTTAAACTGTGTTATGCATTGAACTTTGGTAATTTCTTTTTTTCTTCAAGATAGACGACCATAACACAGTGTGAAAAGTATAAGTTTGCAGGATTTTAACAT